TATTTAAAAATACCAACTTTGCATTGGTCATGTTATAATTATCATTGCATTAATTCTTAAATAAAAAAAAGGAAAAATTGACATTCTTAGATAAAAAATTAAAAAATTATCATTTTAATTAAAAATTAACAAAATTTACATTTTTAAATAAAAAATTTTACATTCTTATCTATACTTTTTTTCATAAAATCTTTCTTTGTTAGAACTTTTATTTTATTTATTCATATATGGGCTTTGATTGGGCTTCCTGCTTTGTGTTGTCTGCCTTTTCCCTTTTGAATTGCAACTTTATTGGGCTTTTAATTAATTGATATTAATAACTTGATAATGATAAATCATAAACCATATGGTTAGGCTCAAATGAGTTGGAAGTTCATCGGGCCAGCCATGTTTTCCCACCAGAAAATTAATGGGCTTGTTTCTCTGATCATATATGTCTAGCTCTAGCTCAACACAGCCCCCAACACTATAATAGATTCCATGTGCCTCTCAACTCAATGTCAAGATTCTCCATTCCAGGCCTGTAACTTTGATGGCACTCCCAGGTTCCAGCCCATGGAACTGCTACAAAGGAATCCAAAACCAAAATTCTAATTAACACATCCTTCTATTCTTCTTTTTGGACGCCTTCTTGACATGCTTATATCATTGTGTGCATACCCCTTTATTTTCTTTTTATGATACATAGAAGTTTATTCCCTAACAATGTACGGGTTTCACAGTCTATTAATAGATAACCAACATCCTAAAATAATCCAACAATAATCATTTTTGCATAATAATAAGTGATTTTAGATTTAAGTTACATGATATTTATATGATATGAATTAAAAATTAAAAAAATGTTGCAAAAAGTAAATGTTTTAACTTTTAGCCTTCGTCGCTTTATTTCTTTTGTCTTCATAAGACTAATCCCATTATTGTACAATAAAATTTGTTTATGTTACCACTAAGCTTGCAGCCGCAAAGGTCCATCCTCCTTACTCCCACATCAAAAGCTATTCGGTCTTCCCCTATGATTACAATCAAACTTTTGCATACGATGTGACCAAATGAGCAAGTTGACCTCACATTTAAAAAAAAAAAAATCCATTAGTATATATACATATTCACTGGTTATGTGTCATCAAGTCCGGATCTTGTCAACCGTTTGTCTTCCGGGTCACCATAGCTCCATGCTTGTTGAATGGAACAAAATATTAGTTAGCCGTCGCACTTGACTTTCAATTATGCAAAACAAATTTATCCCAAGCCTAAATACATAGCCATATCAGTTTTAAATGAAATAAAGCTGCAGTTCTTTTCACAACACTTGGAGTTTTTGGACAATAGAGAGACTAAAGACATCAAATTTCTGATTCATTACAAATGATTACACATGAAGTTTAATTTTACAGTGGAATTTGGATTGAGATTTTGTTCAAATTCAAGGCAAAATTGATCTGGGGATGATGATGTTCCCGATGTTGTTGTGCCATGGATCAGCCAAGTGAGTTGCCAAGTTCTCCAAAGGTCCAGTGCCAGGGTATGCAGATTGCTGCACGCAGAACCCCACAAATGCCAACAATGCCAGCCGACCTGTATAATATGGGTGAATTTACAACAGATTACTTATGAAATTGAGGAGAAAAAAAAACAGGGATTTTGAGTTAGAAGGCTCACCGTTTTTGATTTCTTTGACCTTGTATTCCTCGAACTTTTTGGGGTCTTTAGAGTATCCCAATGGATCAAATGCACCGCCAGGGTACTTCTTCTTCTCAGGGTCTTTCTCCATGCTCCGTTGATGCTCGACGAAGGAAATGGCAAGGAACTCGATAACCAGAATGGTGGGGAGGGTGCCCCATGGAACAGGCTGTCCCAAGTAAGTCGCTTGGCCGCTGGGAATTGCTGCCCATTCTTGAGCCTTCACCCAGTTGCCCAATCCTAATGCCTCCGGTAAAAGCATTCCCGGCTACAAAAACCCACAGAAATATGATCAAATTGAGGCAATTAAAGTGGTCAATTTTACAAAATTAATCATCAAGATTCAAAGAATTCAGAACTTACAACAGCAAGCATAGCCCATCTGCAGTGAATGAGCTCAGATTCCTTGTATCTCTCAAGATTCTCCGGAACCTCACCGAGACGAAGTGGGTCAAATCCGAAGTCCCTGCATGCAAGAACATAAGCTAGGAACGGGGAAAAAGAAAAGTACCCAAAAGAACATTTTCTTTATTTAAAAAAAAAAAAAAAGAAAGTAGTTTAGTTTGTTACCCTGGTGCAGAACCGTCCAGATAGGGTGGGCGTGGCTGGCCGGGCATCCAGTCAGCAGACATGGTAAATCGCGCAGCATTGGTGCTGACGCAAGGAAGCGGGACTCCGGTGGCAAACTTTGATTTAGAGGAAGAAAGAACTGAAGGGAATGCGGCGGCGATGCCGCAGCTCATCAATCTGTTGGCAGCCATAGATGGGGTTGGGAATTTGCGAGGGAGAAAGGGAGAGTTGGGGATATGAAGCTTAGGAGATAGGGGTGAGTACTTGACGTTGGGTGAGGTGAGCGAGATATGGGTGAATTTGAATGTTGATTGTCATCGACTAGGAGTACTTGCATGTGTCTTGTTATTGGGCCACGTGGAATGGTCAATCCAGTATTGTTCCTACGTGGCAGAAAAGATTGGATATGTCAAGATCATTTGTGGCGGAGGTTGAGTCTGCTAGACAAAAAAAGATCATCAGTCATGTCTCATGTCCGTGGATTTTTTTCTTCTTTGAATGAAGGAGCATGATATTTTCCAAAGAGACGATTAAAACCATACATTAGATAGGCCCAGATGTTTTTTTTTTTTTTTTAATTGTACAATAAAAAAAAATTTTTATCTCATTTTATTCGTATGTCATATATCTTAAACTTAAAATTTTTTATTTTTAATGAAAAAATTATCATTAAACTATTTAACTTAAATGTCCTTGAATTATGTAGGAATGATCCGCCCTTAATTGACTCTAAAGAGTATAGTATATTGTGCCAAACCCCTATCTTTTTTTTTTTTTTTTGTAAGCTGTGTGTATGAGAGACTACAAGAAGCTATTTCTTTTTTATAGTAATTATGTTATCAAATTAATTTTTATATATTTTAAAATTAATTTTTTTTTTAAATTTTAAAAGACACATTTTTCATGTCAACTTAATTTATTTAAAAAAATAATTTTTTTATTATTAATCTAAAACTTAAATCACATATATATTTGATTTATAAAATAATATTTATTATTAATAAATTTAATATTGGGGTTCAAAAACACCATATTCTATGTTGTTGTAACACTCTATCTTTATTAGTTTGTAGAGGAATGTGATAATCACTTCACCCTTTTTTTAGGCCAACGAGCTTATTACTTGACTGCTCAATCCCTTATTGTACAAAAAAAAAAAAGATCTAGTAATAGTATTATTCGAGAAGGGGGAAGTAGTACCAGGTTTCTATGCAATAGTCAGTATACAAAGTAGAATGTACTAGCTGCTTCGGGATCCTGGGTTCTTGCTTGGTTTTGCTAGACGGATGGGCGTTACTTCGAGCCTTGCGGCTGAATTGTGGGATCCGTAATGGCATTCACCTTGCTTATCAACATCAGTTTCATAATCTCATTGTGGAAATGGATTCTCTGGTAGCTTTCCTTCTTTTGTCTAACAATTCTTGCAGCAATCACCCACTGTCTGCTTTGATTTTGGACTGCAGGGAAATCCTTTCGAAAATCCCTCAAGTTCTGCTTAATCACATTCTCAGTGAAGCTAATGGCTGTGCTGACCGGCTTGCTACTTTCGGACATGGACTCAACCATGATCTTTCTATCTTTAACTGTTGTCCTAATGATCTTTTGATGTCCTAACGTCTGCCGCAATTTAATTATGTTCTAATGCATATTCTCATTTATCCCAACAAAAACCTCCATCCAAGTATTTAATTATCTTACTTTTTAAATAGGAATAGTCAAATTTAATTATTTTATTTTTTTATTCTAATAACATATTAGATATTAATATTTTAATTTTACCTTTATTTCAAAAAAATAAAATTACATTAGTAGAATTTTTTTTAAATTATACTTAAAAGTGAAAATAAAAAATAAATCTCAATTATTATAATAAAAATTTTTATTAATAATTATAAATAAATAAAATGAGAGAATTAAATTGAGGGAAGAGAATACTAGCATGAATTGGGCCGAAGCCCGTGAGCCTTGACAAAATACAAATATATATTCAATACCATAGATCGGGGATCGGGCCCCAACAAATCGCGCGGCACGCGCTCGTTTACTTGCCTTATCTTTGGGTTAATCCGGTCCAACATCTGTACAATATCACTAACGACAAAACCCTGGGACTTAGACCTCCGTCAGATCACCGCCGTCCGCTAAATCAAACGGCCGAGATTCACCGCCTCCCTCCGCCATGAGCTCACCTGTAATATCACTTGTAATCCGTCACTGCTCTCTTCCGCTCCCTCATCTGATCTTGAAGTTCTGTTTAAAGAAATGAAGCGTTCACATTTCAACTTTCTGTTAAATTGTAGGGAACAAACTCGTTCGGCGGATTTACCAGGCTATGCGAAGGCCTAGCGGTGGTGCCTGTCGCCGGACACATTGTGGTTCAGCTTCTGCCTTCAGCTGTTACTTATCTCGTTCTCATTCCCGCCAGGTATTTCTAGCTATACTTAATTCGAGTTTATCTCTTGTTTTGCTCTTAAATTTAGGATTATGGTTCAGATTTCACCTAGGAAAGCAATCAAATTCGTTTTGATTTTGGCTTATTTATTTATTATTTATTTTTTTTTTACCAGTGATGGGTTTTGAATTTTGTGATATTTGGGAGTGCTTTTATTTTAGCAACCTGATTTTTTTTTTTTTCCTGCTTTCAATTTTTTTTTGTCTAGGACAATTCCTTTTGCTTGGAATCTCATTACAGCTGGTTACATTGAACAATCAATATATGGGGTATGAACAACTTTGCTTCACTCAGTGAATCCCTGCTTAAAATGTTTGTTTTTGCTTTAGTTTATTCATATAGCTGTACTTCTGATTTTCAGGTTGTTATTAGCATTCTCGGTCTTCATTTTATGGGGAACTTGCTTGAACCAATATGGGGTTCCAAGGAGTTTTTGAAGTTCATTTTTATTGTTAACTTTCTGACTTCTGTATGCGTTTTCATCACTACTATTGCCTTGTATTACATAACAACGCAGGAACATTACCTGTGAGTGCTCTTACCTCCATATGCATCCAAAAAACATTTACTTGCTTCCTGACTTCGTCTCCTACTCTTCCCACCATCCTTCTGCTTTTGGACGTTGAGAAATAAAAGAGAATAAACTGCAAAAATTGAGCTACTAACTTCCTTTCTCATCCTTTTGAATTACTGATTTTATTTTGTTATTATTATTATTATTTTTGGATTTAGTTATATGCCTCTTTCTGGTTTCCAAGGGGTGCTAGCAGCGTTCTTAGTTGGTGTCAAGCAAATTGTACCTGATCAAGAGCTGTCTTTATTGCAAATTAAAGCAAAGGTATGTGGCTATTTACCAGCATCTGTAGCTTAGTTTCATTTAGAACTTTTGAATCAATGCCTTCACCTTGCCTCCAATGCTTTGCAGTGGCTGCCATCCGTTATGCTATTGCTTTCCATTGCAATAAGCTTCTTCACACCAGAGTCAGCAACATATCTTCCAATTTTAATATTTGGTACGTATATTGGCTGGCTATACCTGAGATACCTGCAGAGGAAACCAGAAACAAAGCTTAGAGGTGATCCAAGTGAAGATTTTGCATTCTCTACTTTCTTCCCTGAATTACTTAGGTATTATTTCATTTTAGTTTTATAATTCTTTTTGCACACAAACTTAATAATTCGCTTTAAGTGCCTTCTCATTTTTCCTCTCTGAAGCTTTAGTGGTTTGTTGCAGACCTGTCATTGATCCCATTGCTTTAATATTTCATCGGATGCTTTGTGGAAGATCTGAGGCTTCTACAGAAGCTCGTGGTTACACCTTGGGAGGTGCACCATTACCTGGCTCTGACCCCATTGAGGCATCTAGAAGGAGGTAACATAATTTTGTTTATATTCTAGTTCTAATATAAAAAGTGTCTGCATGTGATGTTTATATGTCTTCCCTCAAAAGCATAATATGGTTTTAAAAGGGAGAGGATTGTGCAGTTTCCGACCTATTATCTATTACCTTGCAGAGAAAGAGGTGCAAGGGCATTGGAGGAGAGATTGGCAGCTGAGACGTTGGGTGCTGCACAGGGTTCAGAAGAATCTCGGAAAGATGGCAATGACAATGTTTGACTCAGACCTTCAACATCAATTCCAGATGATTTATCAACAACTTTTAGACAGTATGCTGTTGCTGGAGCATAATTGCTTCTGGACTCTGGTGAGTCTCTGTGGATTATTATGATCCTCTAGTACAGGAAGTTGCCTCTCTTCGTTTTTCTTTTTCTTTCTTTTTGTCTTTCTTCTGAATTTTTGTATTGCATGTTGTGTATAAAAATATTCATCACTGCCTTTGCGCATCATAGAAATGTGAAAGTTGGAAGCTCTGGATTTCTTGTCCTCACACCAAAATATGAGCAAAATCAGTGATGTGTCTGATTATAATTACTCAACCTCTCTCAAAATAATTATTTGTTATTGACTTTAAATATATTAAGAATTTGGTGATAATGTGGATAATAAAGTACCTGTTTGGTTTGAGGAAAATTCCCATCACTTTCCCTCACTTGAATATACTAAAATGCAAAGGAAATTAAAGCAAAATAAGAGAGAGCCCCTCATGCACCTCCCTGCCCATCTCCTGCCCTTCAATTTTAATAGCCAAATAAAGAAATTTTTCGCTTCCCTTCCCTCCCCTCAGAATAAGCAGTGCGTTTCAGAGAAATTCACCTGGCAAGACTACACAGGGGTTATGTCTTCTTGTACAGTCACGCGAATTCCATTTGGCACGTGCTAGTTATTCTCCTGACTCAGTGCAGTGTTCCCCACTTCCATCAAAAGAAAAGAAAAGAAAAGAAAGCCTTGCAGAAAACCAGGAAGCCCTTTTGAATTGATTGGAGAAAATTTACAACCTTTACAGACTTTCATTTTGGCCGAGCTTTGCAGACTTTATTTGCTGTTACAGGAGAAAGTATGACCCAAAAGTTCCAAGGATGTCTCTCGGGTAACATGATAGAAAAATGAAATGGATTACCAGTTTCATTTCATATACATTAACAGCAAGACTATCAAACCGTGAACCTCATTGAACTTTCCCTTGAGTGCAGGAAAATTACATACAGACTTGCCATCGGCAATGAATTCTGCATCAGGCACTAGCTCTCACATGCCTCTCCTGCAAAATATTGTTTGTGGACCATTTTTTTGTAATCTGGATGGAAAAAAAAAAGATTGCTATTTCAGATCATTTGAAATCTCTAACCAACATAAAGATGGACACAGTTGAATTATCCTGTCAAAATTAACACAATAAGATACCCTCTAGGTATCACAAGATCTTTTTTTTCCTACAACCACGAACAGACCAGGAATGCTCTTTCCTTTACTCCAAAGATTTCTAATCGTGTTTAATATGCAGATATGCAGGCAAATACCAGAGAAATTCAGGCTACAATCTGGAATACTTTGTCTAAGTGAAGGTTTTACTTCTGCAGAAACAAGAAAATGATATGAGAGATAACAGTGTTCAAACTCCAACCTTCTTGATTGCTCCACAGTGCTGCAGCATAGCTGTTGAGGGGACTCTCAGGGTTAGGCTCTGCATGCAGGAAGAGTTCTTGGTCAATTTAGAGGGATATTTTACCAGTGTCATGGATTAAATATGAAAGGAAGAGAAACCAGACCTCCTAATAGACTCTGAATGGACAAAAGAATGGTTCTGCAGTCGTAGGCAGAAGACCACTTGTCCTGTTACAACATTATGATGAGTTTGTCAGAATAGAAGATATCAAAAGAACTCCAATTAAATAAACATTTATATAAAAACATTTCACTACCAATGATCCCTTGGTTCAGTAGTAAAACTATAACAGGAAAAATAAAAATATGTTTTAATTCCAATATCCACCAAGGCAATAGGTTCAAAGACTTGAATATAATAGAACCAAGCCGGGGTTTCTCCTCCCAATCTCATACCCATGCTCCTAAGTGCAAATGGTTTAACTGAAAACCGATATACTTGCTCAATTTGGTGATACCTGAAGAATATCAAGGCAAATGTTCCCAAACTGATCAACATTTGGATGGAAGCACATGGTTTCAAACTTGACTTGGGG